GAGCTCCTCCTGCTCGATCACGGAGCGCTTGTCTGAGAAGTAAAGTGTGAGGGAGTTCTGAAGGTCGGCCGGACAGCCTGGTTTTGGCTCAGAGGCGGCCAACACATCTGTAATGGTCTTCTTCTTCCTCTGGAAATACAGTTGAAAGATGACGAGCCACTGACGGCGGACATGAGCCATCCTGGTTGGGCCTACCTTTCTCTTTTTGGCTGAATCGCTCGATGTGTCCTTCTCGTTCTTCTGCTTTGGAAACTTTGACGCCTGAGACAACACAGGTGTGATGCACTTGACAGCCAATTTGGAACATTTTCTTACTCAATTGCAGAAAGATTCGGAAATCCCCCCCAATTTTTTAAAATCAGATTTATGATACACACATTTTTGTGTCGTTGGGCTTTCGCTAAAAGGCAGATGAAGCATGAATTAAAATGACATTGTTTACGGCACTACGCTTGGTGCTGTTAACTTCCGAAACATTTCGACTTGCAGTCTAAGCAATCATCGTGACAGGTTTCCTGTGTGGCGTAAACTTAAATCAGAGTACCACAATAATGCAAATAAATCTGAAATCATGACACAAGTGGACTCAATTTTTTAAGCACTGAACAGACACGATATAAATCAATAAACTATATACCGGGTATATGAAATATAAAATAAAGCATACCGAGCGAAGTGCGACAGCCCTTCCTCGGCCAAAATTGCAGGTTTTGCGATTTGAAAATTTCATAATCTACACACACCAATTTGATTTCGATTAAATGTTCTGCCCCAAAAGAGTTTGTGAAGCGGTGTAAGAACACGTCGTCACACGGTACAAGAAGGCATACTACGTGGCCACCGCTCTTGCCGTTTTTCCATCTGATGGTTTTATGTTTATGACCTAAAAGTGTTTTTCAGTGCAGGCTCCTCTACCAATAGAGACCAAACCAAAAGCACTCCATGTCGCTCCAAGCGTTTAAAACCTTTTACGTTGGAATACCTCTTCGTTCTTTTTCTTCTTCTTTGCTGTCACCGTGTTTTCCATTAGCTTCGTCCTCTTCTCTGCTTTCTTTGGTACATTTGACTTTCCTTTTATTGGCTTGTTCTGGCTTTTCTTTTTTTCGGCCTCCGCCTCCGCCTCGGACCCATCTATCATAGACATATATTTAAAAAAAAAAGGGGGGGGGCAAAAGGTGTGAAATTTAAATCTGGATCAATAAGTTATATGCAACAACATTATGAATCTCCATCAGAGGGTGAACATTAAAAACATCTGTCATGGTGACACAGTGCAACTCTACAGGCACAACAGAAAACATATTGTTGAAGAAATCCCGCTCAACCAAAAACTTTATTAATCTTGTAAATGTCAGTTCTTATCACATTGTGCAAAAGAGATCGAAGAAGACATGAATGAAAGAACAGTGGGAGAGAAGAAGTCAAGCCTCATGCAGAATTCAGATCACACTCATTCTGACCATAATTATAACCAGGCAAAAAAAAAAACAAAAAAACATCCATGTCTCTTAATTGGAAGTCAGACAAACACAATGTCGTCAACAACAACAACAACAACGAAATCAACAGGAAACAGAACTTATTGCGAGGCACGAACGTAGTCCAGTCATCTCACCTCACCTCCCAAGTACTCGCCGAAATCTTGGTATCATTAACTCTTAATGTTGAAAAGTTGGAATCAATAAAAATTTGATGTTGACGACAATTTTCTGTTCCACTCCATTTCATGTTCAACCGATGCCTCCCTGGCAACATCAGTCTAACGAGAGCATGACTGCTACTGGCAGAATTCTTGTTTGGGATCTCGTTCAATTGTGCAGGTGTACCTAATGGTGTGGCTGGGCGAGTGAATATAAACAATCAACGCACATCTGACTCCCATCTTTGTCCTCTTATTTCTCCATCCCACCCCTAATGGATTCGTACCATCTCATCCATCATCATCACCGCCTGCTTGTGTGTGTTTTTTTTTTCTTCGCCGGGCCTCATTACTGTCAGAGGGAAAGTGACAAAAGATGAGCACAGGATTGTAGTTCACAATCACTTTTGGCTGCCTGGTTGCTTTCCGTTGAGACGCAGCTCCACCCCTTTTCCACTCCTTCACAGCCAGACTGCTTGAGTGTCATTAGTTCAGAAGTGCACTACATCAAGTGAACTGACACCCCCCCTCCCCCCTCCCGATTCCCAATCCTGTTCCATTGACGGAGAAAGCCAGCTATTTCCCTCACGACAGCGAGGTTGACGTGAGGACATTGAGATGCCAGAACCTTAGGAGCGTGAAGGATCACCAATAAAACCAATGCAGTATAGATTGGCGACAAATGGTACGCCCGCCTCGCACGTAAGTCTTTTTTCCTTGATCGTATTACATTTTTAAAAAAGTATTATTATGGGATTAATTGTTTCGTGACATTCTGCTTGCATTTCTTGTCATTGTTGTGCATTGACATTTATTAGTGGAAGCTAAAAAGTCCGAACAAATGTGTAGGCTTCAAATTTTGTGTTCCTGGAGAAAATTTTGAAAACAAAAGCACATTTATGTTAAAATTTCAACAATTAAAACCATTGTGTGAATCAACATTGAGACTTCAAACTAGGCAGGGGTGTCAAACTCATTTTTGTCGCGGGCCACATTGCAGTTATAATTTCCTTCGGAGAGCCATGATGACGGTGAACACACATGTCTGATGCCTCATGTTAAATATACACACAAAAAAAAAGATTAATAACTAGTTTTGAAATCAGATGCCAGTGAAAACTGTTTGAATATAGGTACATGTTAAAGGGGGATTCCGAACAAGAAAATGTTTAAAAGTCAATTCCCACTTTTGATATTTTACCATAACCAATCGATACACATAATTTCCTTTCGTGGACCACATAAAATGATGTGGCGGGCCAGAGTTCGACACCCAGGCCATGACTTTAACACCTGTGATCTAGTGCATTTGACAACATTTCCTTGATCCGCAAATTAATGATCGATTATTTGAAAATATTTGGGGAAAAAAACTGGAACGTAAACTGTTACACACCTAAAACTAGTACAGAAAACTAAAGCGCAAAAAAACCCCAAGAACAAGACGCTCGGTCTCCGACAACCCGAGCCATGGGGTCAGATAACAGAAAATCAATGGGAGGAGAGGAAGACGGCAAGATCGAAAAAGGCTCATGCCTCGTCATTTTTAACCGGCCAGTCAATAATGGCGACTGGTTTTAATGGGCAGTCAATGGCGCCGAATGGATACAATGACAATCGACTGTTTGCAGGAAATGAGCTTTTTCTGGAGGGAGGAGTGCGGGTATTGCAGACAAATTGCTTTCAGGCTTCAAGTGGTTTCATTGTACCTGGGCAATTAGTGGTGATTACATGGGTTAGCACGTTGTAAGAGCAATAAGTACACACTCCACGTCATCATCCATTAACCATTACTGACGCGACGGATAATGCTTGCAGGCTTCGCCCTGCGCATTCCACATTCAGACTTTATACCAAGACTCTGCTAAAACGGACCAGCTGTCATGGCGACCACCACAACATTATATCCCTTCCAAGGCATTGGGGGAAAGCACTGAGAATTCTGGGAATACAGATGGCTCCTGATGACAAACAATGACAGATTTAACACTGCAAGTTGCTTCTGTTGCAAATGTTTGTTTGACATATGGAAGGCATAGGAGGGATCGTCAAGGGCCCTTTTCAATAATAAATGGCTACTTTGGATTGTTCGCCATCCGCATTACAGCAATGGTATTCTGTCGCTGCTGTTGCTTGTCGTGTGAGATGATTCATGAAGTGATGCACTGACAAAGAGTTGGGATTATACTTGGTTTGTATGAAGAAAAACAAACAAACAAAAAGATTATCACTGTTGACTTAGCCATACTGCACTGCAGCCAGGACAGAGGCTTGTGTTAATGGCTTCCGTATATTGCCGTTACCGCACTTTCCGCACTACAAGGCAATTCGGAGTATAAGGCGCATGTTGGGCTATTTTAAAATTGTTCTCATATATAGGGCACACCGCATTATAAGGCGCATAGAATAGAAGGTACAATGGTGGCTGCGGTTGCGTTATGCATCCACGAGATGGTGCTACGCTAAAGAGAATACAATACAATACTGCTTTATTTAACCGGAGCTTTCACAACTGCTGCAGCTTTAACAAAGCGCTTTACAGAACATTTAAAATACTACGCCCAAGAAATCAGAATATTGATCCATGTATAAGGTGCATCGGACAATACGGTGCACTGTCAGCTTTTGACGAAACTGAATGCTTTTGTACGGCCACAGGCCAGTTCAAATTTTGATCATTTTTAGAGGTCCCTTGCATTCATTATCCATTTTCCCCACTGTTTAAAACATAAGGCAGGTCAAAATGAGACTTGGTAAATGTCCGGCATCTATACGTTTTGTCAATTGTGTGCAAATAGCCGTTTGAAACTGGAGAGGGAACAAGTTGGGTATTTTGGGACAGTTAAAAGATAAAGGTCCCACAATTTTTTTTTTTTTTTTTTAAATCGTACCATCTGAACTGCTCAGTCGAGAAAAGATTTTGGTATTGTTTGATTTCATATATATTTTTTAGCAGTTTGTTTGAGCAACCATACTTGAGATAATTTAAGGACCTACTTTGTATTTGAAGAAACTCCCATTAAAGTTCATTCCAGGCTTTTTATCTCCTGATGAACTAATCTTTATTTGCACACAGTACATTGCTAAACCCTCAAGTGACAGCAATCATATGAATCACATTTCCAACAGTGATGCAATTATTGTGGAATCTAGCATCTTATTAGTGAGTGCAGGGAATGTGTGTGTGTGTGTGTGTGTGTGTGTGCGCGTGGAGAGAGAAAGACACAAAATAGCAAACAGTAGAATTTCACAACCGTCTGTCAAAGCACTCTTATTGGGGGTGGACGGGACTCCTCAGAGGACAGTTTACATCAGAGCCCAAAAATGTTGAGCATATTTATTACTGACAAAAGATGAGCACAGGATTGTAGTTCACAATCACTTTTGGCTGCCTGGTTGCTTTCCGTTGAGACGCAGCTCCACCCCTTTTCCACTCCTTCACAGCCAGACTGCTTGAGTGTCATTAGTTCAGAAGTGCACTACATCAAGTGAACTGACACCCCCCCTCCCCCCTCCCGATTCCCAATCCTGTTCCATTGACGGAGAAAGCCAGCTATTTCCCTCACGACAGCGAGGTTGACGTGAGGACATTGAGATGCCAGAACCTTAGGAGCGTGAAGGATCACCAATAAAACCAATGCAGTATAGATTGGCGACAAATGGTACGCCCGCCTCGCACGTAAGTCTTTTTTCCTTGATCGTATTACATTTTTAAAAAAGTATTATTATGGGATTAATTGTTTCGTGACATTCTGCTTGCATTTCTTGTCATTGTTGTGCATTGACATTTATTAGTGGAAGCTAAAAAGTCCGAACAAATGTGTAGGCTTCAAATTTTGTGTTCCTGGAGAAAATTTTGAAAACAAAAGCACATTTATGTTAAAATTTCAACAATTAAAACCATTGTGTGAATCAACATTGAGACTTCAAACTAGGCAGGGGTGTCAAACTCATTTTTGTCGCGGGCCACATTGCAGTTATAATTTCCTTCGGAGAGCCATGATGACGGTGAACACACATGTCTGATGCCTCATGTTAAATATACACACAAAAAAAAAGATTAATAACTAGTTTTGAAATCAGATGCCAGTGAAAACTGTTTGAATATAGGTACATGTTAAAGGGGGATTCCGAACAAGAAAATGTTTAAAAGTCAATTCCCACTTTTGATATTTTACCATAACCAATCGATACACATAATTTCCTTTCGTGGACCACATAAAATGATGTGGCGGGCCAGAGTTCGACACCCAGGCCATGACTTTAACACCTGTGATCTAGTGCATTTGACAACATTTCCTTGATCCGCAAATTAATGATCGATTATTTGAAAATATTTGGGGAAAAAAACTGGAACGTAAACTGTTACACACCTAAAACTAGTACAGAAAACTATAGCGCAAAAAAACCCCAAGAACAAGACGCTCGGTCTCCGACAACCCGAGCCATGGGGTCAGATAACAGAAAATCAATGGGAGGAGAGGAAGACGGCAAGATCGAAAAAGGCTCATGCCTCGTCATTTTTAACCGGCCAGTCAATAATGGCGACTGGTTTTAATGGGCAGTCAATGGCGCCGAATGGATACAATGACAATCGACTGTTTGCAGGAAATGAGCTTTTTCTGGAGGGAGGAGTGCGGGTATTGCAGACAAATTGCTTTCAGGCTTCAAGTGGTTTCATTGTACCTGGGCAATTAGTGGTGATTACATGGGTTAGCACGTTGTAAGAGCAATAAGTACACACTCCACGTCATCATCCATTAACCATTACTGACGCGACGGATAATGCTTGCAGGCTTCGCCCTGCGCATTCCACATTCAGAGACTTTATACCAAGACTCTGCTAAAACGGACCAGCTGTCATGGCGACCACCACAACATTATATCCCTTCCAAGGCATTGGGGGAAAGCACTGAGAATTCTGGGAATACAGATGGCTCCTGATGACAAACAATGACAGATTTAACACTGCAAGTTGCTTCTGTTGCAAATGTTTGTTTGACATATGGAAGGCATAGGAGGGATCGTCAAGGGCCCTTTTCAATAATAAATGGCTACTTTGGATTGTTCGCCATCCGCATTACAGCAATGGTATTCTGTCGCTGCTGTTGCTTGTCGTGTGAGATGATTCATGAAGTGATGCACTGACAAAGAGTTGGGATTATACTTGGTTTGTATGAAGAAAAACAAACAAACAAAAAGATTATCACTGTTGACTTAGCCATACTGCACTGCAGCCAGGACAGAGGCTTGTGTTAATGGCTTCCGTATATTGCCGTTACCGCACTTTCCGCACTACAAGGCAATTCGGAGTATAAGGCGCATGTTGGGCTATTTTAAAATTGTTCTCATATATAGGGCACACCGCATTATAAGGCGCATAGAATAGAAGGTACAATGGTGGCTGCGGTTGCGTTATGCATCCACGAGATGGTGCTACGCTAAAGAGAATACAATACAATACTGCTTTATTTAACCGGAGCTTTCACAACTGCTGCAGCTTTAACAAAGCGCTTTACAGAACATTTAAAATACTACGCCCAAGAAATCAGAATATTGATCCATGTATAAGGTGCATCGGACAATACGGTGCACTGTCAGCTTTTGACGAAACTGAATGCTTTTGTACGGCCACAGGCCAGTTCAAATTTTGATCATTTTTAGAGGTCCCTTGCATTCATTATCCATTTTCCCCACTGTTTAAAACATAAGGCAGGTCAAAATGAGACTTGGTAAATGTCCGGCATCTATACGTTTTGTCAATTGTGTGCAAATAGCCGTTTGAAACTGGAGAGGGAACAAGTTGGGTATTTTGGGACAGTTAAAAGATAAAGGTCCCACAATTTTTTTTTTTTTTTTTTAAATCGTACCATCTGAACTGCTCAGTCGAGAAAAGATTTTGGTATTGTTTGATTTCATATATATTTTTTAGCAGTTTGTTTGAGCAACCATACTTGAGATAATTTAAGGACCTACTTTGTATTTGAAGAAACTCCCATTAAAGTTCATTCCAGGCTTTTTATCTCCTGATGAACTAATCTTTATTTGCACACAGTACATTGCTTTTTTTTTTTTTTTTTAAATCGTACCATCTGAACTGCTCAGTCGAGAAAAGATTTTGGTATTGTTTGATTTCATATATATTTTTTAGCAGTTTGTTTGAGCAACCATACTTGAGATAATTTAAGGACCTACTTTGTATTTGAAGAAACTCCCATTAAAGTTCATTCCAGGCTTTTTATCTCCTGATGAACTAATCTTTATTTGCACACAGTACATTGCTAAACCCTCAAGTGACAGCAATCATATGAATCACATTTCCAACAGTGATGCAATTATTGTGGAATCTAGCATCTTATTAGTGAGTGCAGGGAATGTGTGTGTGTGTGTGTGTGTGTGTGCGCGTGGAGAGAGAAAGACACAAAATAGCAAACAGTAGAATTTCACAACCGTCTGTCAAAGCACTCTTATTGGGGGTGGACGGGACTCCTCAGAGGACAGTTTACATCAGAGCCCAAAAATGTTGAGCATATTTATTACATTATGGAACAGCCAAGCAGCCATTGTTTGCCTTTCCAACTCCATGCCTGCCATGTGATTTATTGTAGCAAGGTAAGTGGGCGCCATCTTTGTGGTAATTTTCTGAAAGTCATCGAATGAGCACTTCGAATGCCGCTAAAATTTTCGACCCGTCGTTTTTTGACCTCATATCACACAAACACTTTCCCCTAAAACGCTTTTTTTTTCAACACACACAGACCAAATCAGTTGGTTGGTCCCTTCTTGGTTTATTTGTTAACACAATGCAGATTCAATCATTGGCTAATTGGATCGACCCACAATTGGGTTAACCAAACCAAAGTTAATTTGAGAGATAGCTGGAATCCCCTTGGATCTCGGTTCAGCCCATTTTGCGCTAAACTCATCCAATCGATCCAACTAGTACACGTACACACCCACACACACACACACACACACCCACACACACACACTACTAGGTTTGTGAACAGAGAGAGTTCACAAAAACAAAAAAACGATAACAGGGTTTCTCATCACATTAAGAGGTGGAGAGAAAACATACTGATTGATAACCTGAGATCCCAAACCCTGAGATGCAGCCATATTAAGCAAAATTATGGTTCTCCCCAAGCAATTAATTGTAGTCCAGACGTCATCTGCTTGGAACTATAGATCATTAGGTATGTCATGGCCAGAAAATAAGTTTTCTCTGGGACCATCTTTCATTGTATTATCTGCAAAACTGATAACTCAGTTTCTATGCAACACTGTTGTGCCAAGAGCACTGCTGATGCCGTTTCATCAGGTTCTTGGACTTCAGTAAAAATGTTACAAAAACAAAACTAAACTAAACAACAGATTTCTAGTTCCCATTTAAATTATTTATCAACTCCTCTCTTCATTCTAGAACTGCATCCCATTCGTGAAAGTCGTCTGCGCATTCACTGGAAACACGACTTTGAAGTCGTGCATTCGGCCAATCCCTAACATCTCCAAAACATCCCAATATCCCAGTTGCCATGAAAAACAGGCAAGACAAGAGACGTGAGCGCGAGAGAAGATGTTTGAGAGGAGACCTTTCCCGTGATGACATGTTGTTCCTACTCAGTGTTCTGGAGGGAGAGCTCCAGGTGGGGTAAAACTTTTGGATTTAGTCAAATGTTGACCATGATTCCGGAGCTCCAGAAAGGCTCACAGAAACTGCGTAAACTTGTTTTTGTGCTGCTCATCACGCCAGGCGAGGGAGGAAGTCATTGCCGTGCTGAAAACAGAGCGGACGGACTGGGCTCTACTGAAAGCCCACTACGGTTTTTGTGGACTGCACGGGGCGCTACGGTCCCTGCGTGGAGACTCACTGCGATGGCAACAACAGGACCATTTCGAGGATGTGTGCAAAACAGCGAATGCTGAGGTACTAATAATAAGAAACCAGACACCATAGGGAGTCGGTAATCAAATGTAATGAGGTGAACATAGTGCCATCTGACAAAAGCGGATTAATTACTGCTGCTTCACTGCACGTTGAGTAATTCTGTGCTGCCGGTGAAGTAATTATACCGTAATGATTTTGCAACCCCAATGGATTGTTTTGGTTTCACTTGATTGAAAGTACTTTCCAACCACAATCTCACTGAGACAATTGAAAACAAATCCCCAAACCAACCCGAATCGATTTGTATTCCAATCCTGACGTGTGAACTGTATCGTGCTTGGCTTTGATTCTTTTTGCAGCTTATTAATTTCATAGAGGCCCAGAAAAGGTCAAACAAGAGGATGGAGGATCAGCTTCTTGAGGTATCAAATGCTCACAGAGATGCCGTTAGGAGAAATGAGGAGCAGCAGAGAAGCCACCGGGATTTCTTTCAAAAGTATACGTGCGTTACGGCGCTACTGGAGGAGGACCGAGAGCGGTAAGTCGGTGCATCACATTTTGCGGGGGGTTGCATAAAACAAATGATTTTCCTCAAACTCTGGATCATGGTAGAACCCATGACATTATGAATGGCAATAATAATTGATTTAGCTTGAAGAATTTGATTGTGTGGGAATTGATTGTCGATTCAACACATCATGAAGCAACTGAGACAAAATGGGGCGCGCTACTGACTGCAGCCAGCACTGTATCAGTCTGTGTTGTCAACAGCACTTCTAAATTCACGCAGACCTTTGCTAAGGCACAACGCTGGCATGGAAACAAAAAAAAAATAAAATAAAAATCAGAACAGGATCCTCCCACCGTATTAAAAATAGTTATAAAACAACAGTAAATGAACGCGTTACTTTTCCCCAAAGGACATCGAACCTGTTGGACAGATCACATTATGACGACACGTCACGTGTTTTTTTCCTTCCCGGTTTTGTTAACAGTTGGACCTTGGTAGCTGTCTTGTAGTTACAGCATGGCTTTAAAATAAAAGCGGGGGAGGGGAAAAAGACACACACCAAAAAAATAACAGCGGCATAACATTGTTGCACAGTACTGTATACCGTAAGAAAAACAGCTACAGACTGCAGCCCAAATGAATGTGACGTACTTGCATTCTTGAGCTGAGTAAATATCCATCCAGTCCCTCTTGGTATGAAAGATGTACAGTGATTTAAGTGTTTCAGCACACCGTAGAAAAAAAAAAAAAACATCTGGACTTTCTGACGTACACGTGAGCCCTTTTAGCCCCAAGTTCATCCATAACACTCAGTTCAACTTCCGCCATTTGGACAGTCGACTGCAGCCCGGACTTGGTCGGAGCCGATCGTGCATCCAAGTTCGACTTGCGCTTGTAAACAGCTCAACATGTAATTACACATTCCATGTACTTTTGGCACCTGCCTGCCCCTTGGTCAGCCAATACCTCTTCTGAAGCAAATGGAATAAAAATTGATGGTGGCTAGAACGTTTCCCTTTCCAAATGGCGACGACGTTCAGATGTGGCCTGTGGCTATGGCGAGGTCTGTTGGCAGGGCAAGACCGGCGGGTATGGCTACGTCTGGTGCAGCTATGCTATTTGAGACCTATGCTAGCTCTCGTAGCACCAGAGTCCACTCTGTAATATAATTATGGAGACTGTTTGGAAGAGTAGCCTACATTTGTTGGTAAGAGTGCCAACCCTTAAAGTGAGCCGCCACAGAAGCACATGGCAATTTTAGACCAAAAATAATCACGCCACATAAAACACTTTGCTCAATGCAACTTGGTACAAATGCAAAGCGGCCGAGATAGACTAAACAAACAAAAAAATCTGCGAGTTTAAATTGGCTTCATCATAACGGATACATTGAAGCCGATCTCACGATGCAGAGGTTTTACAATTTGGGACTTCTAGTCCACAGGTGTCAAACTCAAGGCCCGGGGGCTAGATCTGGCCTGCCATATCATTTTACGTGGCCCGTGAAAGCAAATCAAACATGTCAACTTCTATGATGCGTGCTAAAATCTCTATCAAAATTTAAAATTCTCATATGTAATAAATAAGAGACGTATTGCAACCTTTTTATTGTTACCAAACCCCTCATTACAGTAACTTTAACAATAGTTGAATAAACCGTTGTTATTGACTTTTTGTTATATGGTTTTTAGGTGCGCGTTATAGTGTGGAAATTACAGTAAACAAAAAATAATTACTCTGCTTTCATCAAGGGCTACGGAAATAAGAGAATAATTGCCGCTGATGGGCTAAAATCAGAGGATTTGGACAATTTTAGGTTAAACAACAGCTTGAAATGATTACTCAATTTTTTAAAAATAGTTGTCGATTAATTTGACAATTGATTAGTTTCCTATTAGTAGAGTCATTTTGACACCTCTAGCCGATGATGGAGCCCCCACCCCCTCCGCCCAAATGGTGGAAAACAGTTTCTGAACGTATGATCAGTATATGTTTACGAAGAGGAAATTGATGATTAATTCCCCCCCCCCCACCCCATCTGACTCTGCACATGAACATAAAAAAATACATACTGAAAATGCAGTGACGTGTGATAAAATTTGTAAATACATAACAAAGGGTGACTGCCTGTATCTACTTTCTTGGTTTTGTAACCGATTGCACAAGCCTCTTCCAAATATGCAGCACCACTGCTGCCAGTGTCAGTGATTAAATAAAAAAGGAGATTGGGCAATACATTAATAGCGCCAGATGTTTGGAATCGGGTGCATTTAAAGTTGCACAAATCTGAATAAGAGTACGAAGTTGGGGGACATTAATTCACTGAGATTGCAAGGTGGACTGACTGTCTTTCATTCGTTTTCAAAATCTCTTCTGTGCTGGTTTGTGCGCAGACCTGTTCTCACATCAACCCTGACAAAAATCTTTCAATCTGCGCCTGTTTCTTCTCAAAGGGCTTCTTCGAAACAAAGAAACAATCATCACAGCTTTTGTTTTTGCCTTTTCCGAAGTTCCACAAGCACCCATGTGCAAAACAGATGACCCATGCTAGATGCAAAACTACACGGTGACTTCCAGTTTTTACGTATCATCTATTACACCGCACTGTGATCCTCCGTTGCATGTCATGTGCACGTCGCGATGAAACAACGCGGTTGTTCCGGCCTCTTGCCATTAGATTACACACGTTTCAGATGGTCTGTCACTGGGTGACGCCTTCCTCGACATTAAACACTCTCATGTGTGCGCGACTCACAAAAGTCATTCTGGGGTGTACTTCGTGGGTTCGGGTTTTTATTATGTTTTTTTTCTTTTTACTTATGGATTCTGGATGTTAGAGTAAAGGGGAAAAATTAAGTCTGTAATAAGGATTTTATATATATATATATATATATTTTTTTTTTTTTGGGGGGCGGGTTCTTGTTTGGTGCTTTGTTAAATTCACCAGCATTACAGCAGAGGTAACAATTTGAGGAGACAGCACATACATTTGGCTGTGCCTCATTTGTGAAAAGCAGATGCTAAAAAAGCAGCATTTTGTTGAAATTACACCCTTGGATGAAAATAGGACGTCGTCCTGGTACGTGGGGTCGTATTACATCTCGTTCAATGCTTGAAGGCTTTCTTGGAAAGGTCTTTGCGGGATGGACTCATGCTTGTAATTGAGGACGAGGGTTGCAGATGTCAGCGCTGCGATGGGAACGAGGACTTTGTGAACTCTGCAGCAAGAGTCGGAGGCGTGGATCGGAAGGTGGAGGACGCTTACCTTTCACAACATGAGCAATGTTTAACCTCCAGCCTTTTTATTTTTTGGGGGGCGGGGGGAGTGCGGAGATTCGAGTGAGTTAAAAATGAAATACCGCATACCAGTAATGTGCATTCCTTAAGCGAAGAAGGGGAAAATGAACAATCTTTTTTTTTTTTATGGATGGAGCACAACATTCCATAAACTAACATCATGTTGCCTCTTTTAAACAGCAAACTAGCTCAGTGTGAAACAAAAACACCTCGACTGGGCAGAGCCAAGGGCTGCACTCCCATTTTGCATCGACTATTTCAAAACGCAATTCATCAACAATCAATTACACACAAAGAACAGAGTTCTACCCAACAACTGTAACCGATGGTTATCCAACAAGAAACACAGCAAAAGCATACAACTAAACAAGAGTGAGGTTTTATTTTAGAAACGTTCCGCTTGCCAGGCCTAGTCATCTATGGAGCACATTCAATGTCAAGCTTAAATTGCTACATTTTTATTCTTCGCAGCTGGTTGAGAATGGATTTAATGGCAAACATTCACAGGTGAAAGAGTGGCTGTCGCACATTTTTTACCCCTTTTGAAGTGGCAATGGAAGTTGTTCCCCAGCTTGTTCATCTGTTACTATTAGGAGTGTTCGGTGACTTAGCAAAACCAAAATTTCCGTTTCTGGTTGTCTTCAGACGTGACCAATACAGGAAATGATGAAAGCATCACTGGTTATCATCAATTCCCTCTGCGCGTAAACACACAGATGCACCAAACGCTCGACGAACAACAGGACGCCCATGACGCCGCCAAGCGAAACTGCGGTTGAACATTTTAATATTTCATCCAATAAAAAGCTTAGACTGGATGAAAGAGAGATGTATTATGGGGTTTGGGGAAGAGAGAGAGAGAGAGAGAGAGAGAGAAAACATATGGATATAATTGTGAACCAATGAAGCGATGATGTCATCTCACAGTCAGGTTATCAGGCCCCAAGCAAAAATGGCTAGGGCAAAAAAAAAAAAAAAAAAAAAAAGGTGCTTCTTAAAACATATGTGAGAAACACATACACACATACACCCACGCATACACTTAGATGAACTACAGCTTTTGGACATGCCAACACATTCTGTCCTTCCCATTAGCCTCTTTGGCATGGCTACACAATGAGCTCATGTGGAATGGGCTCAACTCCAGTAAAAACACACTCGCACTAACGCACACAAGAACACAGATAAACACACACACACACACACACACACACACACACACACACACACACACACACACACACACACACACACACACACACACACACACACGGTCATATTTCCATCACTTCAGACGACATTACAAACTTTCCTGGAGACTTAACCTTAACTGTAACCACGACATGCCATCGCCACAAATCTCAACCTCACAATTTTTCGCCAAAATGATAGCGTGCACAGTGTGTTAACAGATTTATGGTCTCACAGCAGAAGGAAGACCTGACACACACACACACACACACACACACACACACACACACACACACACACACACACGCAAACCAGTCTAGGCTATAACCATATAAGGATTGGCCGATGATGTAATGGGTGCCACTGGCTGAGAGAAAGAGTCCATGCGCAGAGCACTTCTCATAATGTTTGGTTTTGTGCATGGAATGTCCACATCAGTGGGATCTTCGGGAAGAGAGACGTGAAAGATTTGAGGCCAACTAATCTCTGAGGATTTGTAAGGAAAGGGACACATGACGGCAGGTAGGACTATGTGAAAGATGTGATTTGAGGAATGTGTGCTTGCGCTTTAAAAGTTGGATTGTCACGACGAGGAGAGCTGTGGCTGATTGAACAGACTTCTGAATTGGCTTCTTGTGACCAAAAGTCCAGTATTTAGCATTACAGACCACAAATATTAAGAAATGCAAAAGAGAAAATATTTAAGACGCAGGAATGTTTTACAATGAAACTGGATTTGGGGAAAGGAGACCTAACATTAAATATACTATCATTCTAAAATACAAGTGAGACAAGTCCTACCTGGACACACACTGTTAATAAAAAATAAGACTGATATCCGTTTCACAGAATGAGAACAAAAGATCCTGCCCGGATTGAGCACATTAAAAGTCGCAGTTGGGCTGTAATCGTCTGTGACTCAACGGGAATGTCTTTCTGAGCCGCGCGTCTATTCATGATGTACTTGCACAGCACATACGGTGGAAATAATGGGATGTGGTGTTAGGGGAACGGGAGGGTAAAGAAAATTCTTAATTAACAAACGCTAACACGCTAAGGAAGCCATCTGCCGCGCTTGTGAAAACTTGCTAAATCGCAGCGCCAAAGAGACCACATGGATGACAATACTTACAGGCATGACACAGGCGACATGTGTTACGGTTTACAGGTCGACACAGGAGAGAACAAAATGTTCTATGTTCTCAAATAAGGAGAGGAAAGTGATTCAGTTCTCCTTAGGATTTAAATAAATGTTTATGTTGGAAACAAACCACATAGGGAAATCATTTGTGTTTATCAGCCATGGCCAAAAAGTGAGTAACTTTAAACATTACCTCATGTCCTTGGTGAATGTAATACAGTTACCCTGTAAACCCATTCAAAGGCATTCTTTGGACATAACTAATGCCCCCCTCCCGCCCCTCCGCTCTCCACAGACTGAAGCTCCTGATTGCAAAGGAACGACAATACCAGGAGTTAAAGGAGACTATCAGAGAGAGAGACTTATCACTTCTTAAAAAGGAGCTGAACCGGCTGAAGTCTTTGGCACTGCTGCTCGTAAAGGAGTATCAGAGCTTGGAGAAGCTGTTAAAGGAGCACGGGCGTCATGTCAAACAACTGAGTGCCATCGCTCAAAGTATTGACCAGGAGCCCACTACAGCTAAAGAGAGACAACAGCCAAATTCGATGCATCCTGAGGTGGAGCGACCAAATTCATACAACAACGGCCATCGCTCCCGTCACGTTATGACAGCTCAACTCGCAGAGGGGGCAGCTCAAAATCAGCCACTTAGACAGCAGCATTCAAGCCTTGGCCGTCAGACAGACGAGAAACGAGAAAGTTCTGCAAGAGAGAAGGAGAAGGAATTGCAGGAGACTGGCGATCGGGAAGCGAGACAACCAGGCTCGCTGTCAGAAGTGGAGGTACTGAGAAGAAGGGTGGTGGAGATGGAAGGGAAGGATGAGGAACTTATCCGCATGAGGGACCAGTGCCGGGATCTGGACTGTAGACTGGTTATGGAGACGAAAAACTGCTCGAGTCTAAAGGTTGAGGTGAATAGGCTCAATGGAAGAATCAGTGAATTAGACCGCATCGAGGAGACTTTGGGCAAAAGCAAACAAGAGTGCTGCAATCTGCGGGACAGCTTGGAAAAAGAGAAAAATGGCAGCAAGATGCTCTCAGGTGAGGTGGACTCCCTGAAGATTAAACTGAGAGAGCTGGAGGCGAGTGAGAGCCAACTGGAGAAGAGCGAGGTGGCAATCAGACATGACCTGGCCACGCTCAGGTCTCTGACAGCCGCCTTGGTAGAGGACAGAAAGACCATGTCGGAGAGGCTGCAGGAAGCCGAGAAAAAACTCTGCGGGCGGGGCAGTTATAGAGAAGGGGCACAGAGCTCAAAGTCAGACGTGGAAGAAAAGACAACAGGCATGGCAAAGGAAAGGGACGAGCTACATGGCAGGCTCGCAATGGAGCAACAGAGAAACATGGAGCTCGAGAGTAAAATGGTCATTATGAGAAAGAGGCTACAGGTTTTGGAAAACAGGAGAGAAAAAGAAGAGAAGTACATGCAAGGCTCCAGCAACACCAGTCCGCGCTGCCAAATGGAAGAGAACAAAGCCAAACAACTCACATGGGAGCTGGAGAGGCTACAAAAAAGACTGCAGGACAAGGAGATGATGGAGAAGGAACTGATTAAAGTCGAGGACGACTACGAGTCTCTGGAAAAGAGATTCAATGATGAGCAGATTAAGTCCAAGTCTCTACTCAAGGAACTAGAGGTGGCCAAAAAGGAGCTTTCCGGATACAAGCAGGCGGAAAAACAGGACATCAACCAGGAACATGTCCTCCTTTGTCGTCTACAGAAGGAGCAAGTCAAGTCCAGGCTGCTTGCACGAGAGGTCAGTGCGCTCAAAGAGCAACTCCAGCAGCTGATGGGCACAGAGGAATCCATCAGCAGGGTCCAGACGGATCACTCTGCGTTGCAGGGTAAGCTGATGCAACAAGAAACCAGGAACCGGGAACTCGCTCGGGAGATGAGGGACTTGAGCAGCGAACTCGACAGATACAGATGTCTAAAGAATCTTGCGCCGGGTGGAAATGACGAGCATTATCGCCCCACCAAGGAGGTGCAAACCGAGCCAACAGGCAACTTGCCGACTGACTGCCAACTGCCCCCTATAATTAACACAAAATTTGGCGAGAAGCAGGACGAGGAGGATCCGAACCACAACGTTGAAGTCGCAGGCAGCCGGGGCTCAACTCTCATCAGCAACCTGAACAGCTTGAACAGTGCCAACAACATCGTGAGCCAAAACAGAGGCCACGCAGCCAACGGGGTAAATGTGCACCAAGCGGCTAATGGGGACGTGATGATGCTAACGCACACACCAGGGCAGCCACTCCAAATCAAGGTAACGCCGCATCACATTCTCAACACGGCCACCCTGGAGATCAGCAGCCCCACCGCCGACGCCTCCGCCTCCTACACCAGCACGGCCTTCATCCCATCTGGCGGAAACACGCCAAACCAAAGAATCACCATCATCCAGAATAAGACGCCACCGTCGAGTCCCGACCGCACCCTCTCCCTGCTGAACGGGGCCCCCGTCTCTCGAATGATGAGTCCCAATTCATCCCGATCGGCGACTCCGGACCTCCCGATCCAGATTTTGACGGTCAGGACTTGTTCTCCGGAGCCGACCGACATCGGGAGCCAGGGCGCCTTCTGCAAGACTCCTGAGCGGCAGAACAGCTGGCACCACGTGTGTTCCAGCAGCCCCGAGTCCAGCCCCAGCATCATCACCACAGAGGACAATAAGATCCACATCCACCTCGGGAACCCGTATCTCCCGTCTCACAGCATGCCGCCACCTGTCGGGCCGTACTACCTTCGACATGAGCAGAGGACTCAAGTACTTGCAAATGGCTGCCATGTCAAAGGTGTTGGCAAGATTACCAGTAGTATTACCATATCTCCCGCTACATCTCCCGCCCAACACTCCCCTATGTAGCAGTGACCATTTTAATGAGGTCAACGTGTGAATGTCTCTTTCCAAATAGATACTGTATTATGCCACCTTCCTGCAAGACTATCAAATTAAATCAATGCCGCCCATGTTTTTGTAATGACACGCCATAGTTTGCTACAATACACTTCACCTAGTATTTCTTATCCAAATAATGATTTGTACAACTGTTTCTACTGCCTGTATGAGAATGACATGAAGCAAATGCAATACAATCTCCTATCTTTAAAGATGTGGACATTTCTTTCACTTGCTAGCCAGGCTAATTTGTCAGCATGCACTGTTACATAAATGGCGACTTATTTTGTGGAGCTGATAATAAAAAATGGAAAAGCTGAGAAAATTTTTTGGTCAGATTTGATTGTCAATGGATGGCAAAAAAAAAGCGATCTTTTTGGGACAAATGATAAACAGTAGCATTGTATATGTTTGAGACTGAGAATTTATGTGGATTTTAATGTTTGGCGAAAAGCATTTGACAGTTCACAATACTGTGGATAGTTGCAGCACAATAAATTAGTCAAACATTGAAACTCTTATTCCATAAACTCACGACACACAGAGCGAACTATTCATTACATTAAAAAAAAAACATTTAGATGATAAAAGCTTACTGCGAACAGAAACTCCAAACACCCAAAATTACAACGTCACATAAGAAAAAAAATGACAATGACTTTTAATCTAGGAATTACTTTTCAGGAGGCCAATACCTCTGTTTAGTGGATCTATAAAGTATATTAGTTTTACTTTTTGAATTTAACTACTGAAATAAACTAGGTACTCTATGGTGTTCTAATTTGGTGGCATAAACCTATAGTTTTAAGGTTAGATACCACAAATGTGGCATTCCGTTCATCAACTTTTAATTAAAAGTATGTAGTTTGGAAGTGACACAGTTAGGCATAAACTATTGATTACCGTGGCTTAACTTGTTTGTGTGACAAAAAATATATATATTTTGCGGTTTTTTTCATACGGTAGGGTAAAGGGAGGGTCTGCAAATGGCAGTGATTATAGGCACGGGTCTAATTTAATTTTGAAACATTTTTTCTGATACATTCACTCAACTAATGACATTATAAATCTTGTTTTTATTCATCCATCTATTTGCATGCACTGGAATGCTTGTTCTACTACGCTGAACATTTTTTAAAAACCACCAGAGTGCATTGCTACCCTCTGTCGGCTAGGGTGGTGAACTGCACTTGGAAAGCAACAGACACTGAAAGATCCCGTATTCCATCACAAGATTCAAAAGAAATCGTTAACGTTACGGACTGTTTGGAGGGACGCTAAATGTGCAAAATGCGCAAAAGGTAAGTTATAGTTTGATTTTTGAGTCTAGCTTTTCAAACGAGTTACACTGGAACACGCACGTATGTTTACGTCTCTCACGTATTTTACGTCCCCGAATCACAGCGTAGCGTTTCACACGTGTGGCTTCGTCTTCTCATCTACGGTGGGTAGGCTGTAATAATGTGGTCTTATTAACAAGGAATTTGCATGTTAAAAGGAGTTCTTATTGACATGATGTAAATAACAACTACTTTGACCGTTACAAGCAAGTGTTGAACGGCTAAAGCTAGCTTACAGTGAGCACCAACATGCTTCGCGGCAGCAACACACAGGGCGTCCACTCGCAAACGCACAAAAACATGTAGACGCATAAGTCTTCGCCACTTAAGACATTATATTACATTTAAAAATATATATTTCACCTGATTCACAGTCATGCTGCCACCACTCGTCACCCAAGTCGTCCCCCATTTTGCCGATTTACGCTTTTGGGCAGTTTATCCAATCAAATGAACCGCTGCGCGAGCAAGCTGGGGTGCGTTCATGAGCAGCACGTTAAAAAAGTTTTGATGTGGTTAAGAACTTTAAGAACACACCAACCGCAGCGAGCAACAACTCGATTCATACTCATAATTAAAACACTAAGTCGCCTCCTATTTTCAAACAGGCAGCTAAAAAAAAAACGCTGAAATTGGCCGTCAGAAGTGTGTTCACAAGTAGTGCGTTGCAAAGACAAATTACGTGGTCTTAAACGAGAACGACATACTACAACAAGATATTTCAGTTTTTTTAATTTACATAAAAGCATCTGTAATAGGTCGGTGACGACTCCGAGGCATCATTTTATTGACAATATTAGTGTTTAACTGTCGTAATATTCTTATTTTTTTAATCTGTAATTGATTTTTTTAATGCATTTTGGGGTTAAAATAGGAAGACAAGAATCACCCGTATGTGCAAATATTTTTGACACTTTATCCTCTGGTTGATTTTGGGACATTTTCCAACTTTGAGATGAGAAGAGGATGCTGAGGACATATTTGGAACAGTGCCCATTTGCTGCAGCTGTAGAGCATAGCAGGGACAGATCCTCCTAGAGTAATTACAACATGCATGCATTTGGTGTTTAAATTAAACGTTTTTTTGTTTTTGGGTTTTGTTTTTCTTTTTTGCTACGGATGCGAGTTTATTAAATCACCCTCTGCCCCCCTCGGAAAAAACAAATAAACAAAAAAAAAAACAAATTCTGATAATATATTCAGAAACGCTATGATGTGTGTTAACTATGCAAATTGTCAAGATAAAAACTCATCAAGAACAAAGTAAGGATAAAATCTGCAAAAATTAACTGAACAAACCGAATGTGTGAGTACAATGAACGGCATTATTTCTGGCAGCAGGAGGCGACGCCACAAGTCAAACTTGGTCCTGAGCTGAACTAGATGTCTGAGTGCAGGGGTTCTTAACCTTTTTGATCTTGGGGCCCAACTTTTACTCAACAAATTTTATTATGTTTGTATTCAATAAATAAATCAAATCCACTTAATGTTTCGAAATGTAAAACGAAATCAAATAATAACCTTGTATAAAGCGATCATCAAAAAAATATTTTATTGATGTGTAAACCTTGACACTCAGCAAGAGGCCAAACAGGCAAACCACTCCTGAAATAAATTATGCTTAGAGGGTCAGGTCAAGTTAATCACCACAAAAATAAATAATTTGATTTTACCTCAGCAAAAATGATGGAAAATGTTTGATTAGCTTAGATTTCTATTATTATTTTTTTTTTTTGGGGGGGGGGTCCTTGTTTTTCGCTGTTAGGTTTCTTCTTCAACCTAATGTGCACAGGTAAATAACTGACTGGTGCTTTATTACCACCTAGTGGCGGAAAGCAAAATTGCAACTGAACATCTAAACAGCAACAGCTCTGATGTACTGAATAGTTAACATACGCTATCCAGACGCCCGGTACTGCTTTTACCGCTACTTGATCACATTTCCTGTGGTCATTACATTTTTTTGACTCTCTGTGGTTCTAGATCAAACACAAAAATCCATAGAATAAGCAAAACGCCTGTGGCGTTTGTTCTTTAGATGCTCACTGAGCTGAAGACACACGAGATTTGGTTTGGGGGTTTACGATCTCTTTCATTGTCTGCCTCTTCTGTCAGAGTGGGCCGCACCAGATAAGTAAGATAACAATGCTGTATACAATCTGATTCGATAAGAGGTTATTAATCCCTGGCAAGAAATTTTAGCCGTAATAGAGTAGCAATAATCTTGTTTCCGCTAACAACAGGAACAAAAAATACACAGCATGGCTGCCAATGATGTGTATTAAACGTACCTACTTAGTGTGTGTGTGTGTGTGTGTGTGTGTGTGTGTGTGTGTGTGTGTTTGGGGGGTCGGGGGGGGGCTGTTAGAATACAAATGGTTCTTAAAGGCCGACAGATGTTTGGTTGCGCCTTAAATTGCACACTGCAGTATCACATTTAATGTGTTTATTTTCTTGTAAGCAGCTGTTGCTCCTCGCTCCCATCACAAAGAAGTATTTTTAGACGACAGAGTGGTTTTTGTGTTGTAAAAAAAAAAACGACGACAATGAAAGCGAGAAAGAGCAGAATCCATTTGAAAAGCTCCCCAAATTTGAATTCACGCCGCAGGCCATACTAAATTTATGAGGAAATATCATGGCTTATTATAGCAGCAGTGAGTGCTTATTTACTCACCTACAGATAGGGAGAGGAGTATAAACTATTAGTGGCTTATTATGACAAACATTAAGTGACTGAGACCTGAGTTAGGAAACAAAATAAAAAGGCCTATTATGTAGAACGGCAATAAAATGGCAAGAATTGAGGCTTACTGAACAGGCCGAATAGGTAATTGAACGCGTCATAAACACAACATTGTGAAAGGACCATGTTAGAGTAATCCGAACGCTAAGAGTCGTTAAAGATGCCCGACGTGCAAAACTGAAGATCATCTTTAAAATTGTGCTGTACTTTTGTCTACCATCTTTTAAATCTGCCAATTGATAGACTTGATGGATATCTGGACCGACACTCTGCACCAAGGCCGCAACTTTCAGTGGCAGCCCAAAAATGTTCAATCGCTCTCCTGCAAAGTGAATGAAAAGGAAGCTAGCCCACTCTCGTTCGCAGCGGCTCAGTTAACTCGATAATGTTTGCGTTGGAACCAGAATGTCTCTGACCTGTTCGTATTCCTGTCAGAAAAAAAGGACAGGTCTATTTAAGGGAGGTTTTTATTTGTTGAAAGGAGATTACGCAGCTAGCGACTAATTGGGGCATCTCATAGAGTCAATGGAAGTATTAAGACTCGCTAAAAGAATCTGAGATTGGTCTCAACAGTAATGTCTCTCATGTCCAGCTATGAATAATGATTACTTAACTCCTCATTTTTTTCGGACTGGGTGAAAGGACCCTCACCCCACACTTGAATTTATCTTTAAGGCTGTGGCCACTCAGTTGGTGCAGCTCTTTTGGTTAGCAACATTTTTTTTTTTTCCGATGTCAAAAAGAAAGCGGTCTTTGTGTGGGATGCCTTTATTTGACTTCAGTGGATTATACATCCAGCAACTAATTTGATCATGGCACATATTGAAGGGAAGGACAGTATGAATGGGAATATAGTCGCTCTATTGTAAGTATTTTGAATATAGATCATCTTCTCGACACTTGGTGATTTGAGGTACTACGGTACATGGGTTGAATGTTGCACAAGCTTTTGATGTTTCACTTTAAGAGTTTTTGGAATTCCATGGCAGGTTGCATCATTTGCTCACATGGCCCATCGTTTGCCACAATTGGACAGCGGTAACTGAGCCCCTCCATTGCATGACAATAAGCTTTCAAATTCTTTTTTTTTTTTTTTTTTTTTTTTTTTTGTGCCTTCAGTTAGTGAAGAGCACACATTAAAGTAGAGGTGCACTGACATTAACAAGCGTTTCCCCAAAGAGATTATTTTTGTGCCTAATTAAATAATAATTGCTTTTTATAGTCTAAATTATGTATTGGGAAGACTATAACTTGCCTCGGTGCACGGTGACCCTGTCTTAAAAATAAGACAAACTCCATCCATAATTTGATGATAAAATAACATTAAAATCAGCAGCAGAAGTTTACAACAATAGTCTTTAAAAGGCAAGAAAAAAAAAAGAGATAAATTGTAGCTGTCATGTTGGCTTGCCACAACAAGAGCAGATGGGTGGGCGAACTCGCCGGCGCATTGGAATAAACAGGAAGTGACCTTGAGCTTTTCAAAACTTCACCCCACATAACGTCCTGCGTCTCCGCAACTTAACTGTATTCATGAGCATCTGGCCCGGCCTGACCTGCACGGAGATTCGCTGCATTTCAAACACTTGGCAAATATTCGCTTCTTCTTTGCGCCTTCTGTAGCTGCAGATTTGTTTTTTGTTTTGTTTTTTCCTCTCTCACGGGCTGACATTGATTTGAGCTTCAAGTACATAAAGCAACATTACGGCCATTGATTTAAATATGTCACAAATGGAGAGAGATGTCTTCAGTCTCGCGACAGTATCAGCTCAAATACATTCATTAGACACAACAGCAGGGCTAAAATGTAATAATATCCAATGGAAGATGTATATACAGGATTTTGCAGAAGGCACGATGCACTTTACGTATCACTCAGGTGGACATGAGGTACCAAAAAATGGTCCGGTCAGCCCAGGCAGGGCTCGACATGGCGTACCAAACCACCAGCTTTGGAGGGTCTCGTTCTTACTCAAGAATTTCTGCTGGATTTGAACATTTGCACAAGCGACAGCTGAGAGAGATGAAATACGAACCACAAGTTTTCCAAGAGCAGAGGTTTGTTTTGGTAATGGTGGAGGAGTGATTCCCACATTTCCGCATGAGCATTCTTAATCTGCTTGACGCCTTAGAAAAACCTGCAAATCGTACCAGCATGAAGCTTTCTCACTCTCTGAAGCATCCGCTAAATGGAGCTTTTGTTTGATGCAGAGTTCCAGTGCAGTCCTCCGGATAGACTTTCCTCGGCTTTGTGTGAACGCCTGGGCCGGGAATTCGATGTCTTCATCAGGCTCACAAAAACTTCAAAGCCTCAGCTGTTAAATGTTGATGACCTCACCTTTGTGATACCTGAAATGAAAC